CTACACCCTTCTTAATTTTATTTACCTGCAAAAAGGTATGCTGGCATTAATTCTTTCCACGTGAGATAAATGTAGATTAAGCGAATATTAGGCTCTTAAGTTAAATATAAATATTATCTACGGCACTCGCATTTTGAGATCACTGACATCTCACCTATCTGTGTGTGGGTTCAAGTATCAGTTTAGCTAACGTGAGTATGTGCGAATGCTTTTTTTTCTTCAGCTTCGCCTTTGTTTCCAGGAGATTTTCCATTTTGTTCTTCAATCAGATATAACGGCATTATGTGATGACGTTACGACAACAAAAGAAAACCCTTAAAAAAAGCAAATAGCACAATTCCTATTTAGTAGTCGGAAATGCCAATTTTCCTGACATAATTTGAAATGTTTTAAAGTTTTCTTTCCTGATTTTCAAGTTTAGAAATGAAGCTCAAGTGGTATTATTTGTTAAAGTGCCCTCGCGTCAAAAATTATTATTACTTTGACTTGACTGCTGCCTACGAGAAAATTTGAACCGGGTCTTATATAAAAATATGTATAGGTTTAAGAGTCTTTTCGGGTTGAAATTAAAACCGCATTTAACATCAATGTAAGTGGAAAATAAAAAGCGAGATATCAAAGCATCACTCCTCTTATGAAACAATTATCCAATGATATTTATTTTTCCGGCGTTTAAATGAAAATTGTTAATATGTACCTTAAATAAATATAGAAAGTGAATGGAAATATACACCAATATTTTATATAAATCCACTGAGCAGGTTTATAGATACGGCCACTGAATGCTTAGAATTTGCGTCGATAGTATTGACAAAGAGAGTCCCCATAATGTACGTAGTTGTGAGGTCAATAGGTCCATCTGGTCAATCGTTGACATTGCTATGGTTCGTTGCAACATATTTTGTGGCCAGTAAGTTCATATATATGTGCACATAACAAAAGGATTTTAAGCCAAATTCGAAAATGTGTTTTCGGTTGCAGAAGATTTGTAATTATTTATTTTATACTTACATTTATCTGCCGATGTGAGCCTTTCTTTCACATCGGCACAAATCCACCAGGGATTTTGTCTTCTGCTTCGCATTTTCGTTTATACGTTGATTAAACTTTTGACGCTTCGTCAAAGTATTGGTCAATTTTGATACGTTTGAACGAATTCGATTTCACCTTTAGGTCTTAAACCTGCGTATTGTTGATGATCATTATATAGTGCGATTAAACTATAAATAAAATATTACAAGTAGCAAAACTGTCACATCCTCCGGATGTCCGGAGGCTGTTTTAATTTGTTGGAAATAATGTCACATAACTTCAAACAATAACATTTAAAACTAAGTGTGATTTGCTATCAGTGCTTTGCGGTTTACAACAAAAGACATGCAGTCATTAGGGAAATTAAATGTAAAATCCACTTAACGAGCGCTTGCATTTTACCAAAGCGCTTTCATCATTTTCTGTATTCATTTCCTCACATTTTGCATTCTCAATTAAATATAAACTCTTGGTAGTTTTTGTGAGCATGTTTCATAACCTGATTGAAAAGAATGTGTGTGTGTGTGTGTGTGTGTGTGTGTGTGTGTGTGTAGGTAGGTAGGTAGGTAGGTAGGTAGGTAGTATTGGAGTTCAAGGTCACCTGCAATGAGTAATGGCAAAATGCAATCAATTAAAATTAAAGTTCTAGACAAGTTGAAGTATGCATTTTTGCTTGTCTATTTTTATGCTAAATTGACAAAACACCCTGACAAGTCAAAGCGCTTAAAATCTCATTAATTATCATTGCTGAGTTATTTTAAAAATCAAAATTGCTGAGTTATTTTAAAAATCAAAATGAAATTTAAAAATAAAGATTGGTTACAAGGTACAGTATGATTTGAATTATTTTAACTGTCGCTTCATAAAAGTTGAAAGTAGATGGTGTAATACAACCTCATGAGATCATGTACCAATAAAAATGAGTAACTTAAGTCGATTTGCGCCTAACAAAGTTATACAACAATAATTTAAATTTTACTATTGGTAGAACAATTAAAAGGATGATAACGGTCTTTTTTTTCAAAATGAGAGTACATTTTCATGTTTTGAGTATCATAAGAATAATGAAATAAAGTGATTTGCCGTTCTAAGTTTTAATCCAAGGATCCTTTCTTTTTTATTTTGTGTTGTGTGTGTGGGTGGGGCTTGGCAGTGAAAGTTGCAAAATCTACCCTACTACGTTCGTAGCAATTTTGTTCAGAGATATTTAGCAAAAGAAACCATTATTTTTTAAAAACTGTTTACGAAAAAAGCTTGAAACATAACATTTTATTAAGATTAAAACTTTATGGAACAAGTGAATAACAAAAGTAGTCGAAGGATTTGAGAATTTTAAGGTCGGATGATTTAAATCCAGGACAAACCACTTGCAAGTTCTCCAATATTTGAATATGTGTACAGATCAAGGCAACTACTGTAATGTTGTATAATATGTCAATGATATCTGACAACAACATATGTGGAACGACCTGTTAAATGCGTCTATAGGTTTTAAATCCTACCAGATTGCAGCAATATAGGCCACTGGTATTATTTCTCAGACAATAATGTAGCCCACTGATACCCGGTCAGGTAGACTCTCAGATAATAATGTAGTCCATTGATAACCAATCAGGTAGTTTTCCAGATAATAATGTAGTCCACTGATACCCAGTCAGGCAGATTCTCAGATAATAATGTAGTCCACTGATACCCAGTCAAGTACTTTCTCTGATAATAATGTTGTCCACTGATACCCAGTCATGCAGTTTCTCAGATAATAATGTAGTCCACTAATACCCAGTCAGGTATTTTCTCATATAATAATATAATCTACTGATACCCAGTCATGCAGTTTCTCAGATAATAATATAGTCCACTGATACCCAGTCAGGTAGTTTCTCAGATAATAATGTAGTCCACTGATACCCAGTCAGGAAGTTTCTCAGACAATAATGAAGTCAACTGACACCCAGTTAGGTAGTTTCTCAAATAATGTAGTCCACTAACACCCAGTCAGGCGATTTCTCAGATAATAATGTAGTCCACTGATACCCTGTCAGGAAGTTTCCCAGAAAATAATGTTGTCCACTGATACCCAATCAGGTAGTTTATCAAATAATAATAATGTAATCCACTGTTACCCAGTCAGGATGTTTCTCAGATAATAATTTAGTCCACTGATACCCAGTCAGGTAGTTTCTCAGAAAATAATGTAGTCCACTGATACCCAGTCAGGAAGTTTCACAGATAATAATGTAGTCCACTGATACCCAGTCAGGAAGTTTCACAGATAATAATGTAGTCCACTGATACCCAGTCAGGTAGTTTCTCAGAAAATAATGTAGTCCACTGATACCCAGTCAGGAAGTTTCACAGATAATAATGTAGTCCACTGATACCCAGTCAGGAAGTTTCACAGATAATAATGTAATCCACTGATACCCAGTCAGGTAGTTTCTCATATAATAATTTAGTCCACTGATACTCAAACAAGAAGTTTCTCAGATAATAATATAGTCCACTGATACCCAATCAGGTACTTTCTAAGATAATAATGTAGTCCATTGATACCCAGTCAGGATGTTTCTCAGATAATAATTTAGTCCACTGATACCCAGTCAGGAAGTTTCACAGATAATAATGTAGTCCACTGATACCCAATCAGGTAGTTTCTAAGATAATAATGTAGTCCACTGATACCCAGTCAGGATGTTTCTCAGATAATAATTTAGTCCACTGATACCCAGTCAGGTAGTTTATCAGATAATAATGTAGTCTACTGATACCCAGTCAGGAAGTTTCACAGATAATAATGTAGTCCACTGATACCCAGTCAGGAAGTTTCACAGACAATAATGTAGTCCACTGATACCCAGTCAGGACGTTTCACAGATAATAATGTAGTCCACTGACACCGAATCATGTAGTTTCTCAGAAAACAATGTAGTACACTGATACCCAATTAGGCAGTTTATCAGATAATAATGTAGTCCACTGATACCCAGTCAGGAAGTTTCCCAGATAATAATGTAGTCCACTGATACCCAATGAGGAAGTTTCTCATACAATTGTGTAGTCCTCTGATACCCAGTCAGAAGTTTCTTTGATTGATAACTTGGTGTATACCGCCATGCACGTACCCTATAAACATAATCGGAGCCCTTTCAGTTACTAATATAACCAAGTGCCAGAAAATGTCACACCTTTTCATTCACACGAGCCGATTATTCCGACTGTTTAATCTTTGAATGCTGTATTATTATTAGTTCATAGGCAGGGTTTAATTATCCTTGAACGCTTAAATTATTTTGATTTGATTTGTCACATATTTGTCAGACGTGACTTATATAATGAATGGTGCAATGATTGTTTTATAAGAAATAAGTATCTAACAAGATCTGGAAGATATTAGATAAAAAAAACCCTACAGTTCGCAGCTTTTATTCATGGAAACCAAAGACTGGAGGGTATTTAAATATAAATTGGATGCATTGTTTGTCTTTTAATAAATTAAATAGCATTTTGGTTAGTTATCTGCGCTTGAGACAAAAAAGTGAATTAAACATAAACATATAGACAATATTGATATCAAACGTTCCTCGCACTTATCTTTTCTTTCTCTCCTCTTCGTAATAAATAAATACATAATACTATAAATTAATTGTATCAGCATGAATTAATAAGACCGTTTCAGATACATTAGGAAGTAACCCATGGACAATGTATCTTCCATTTTTATTGTTACCGATCTTAGTGTTATGATGTGATTTGAATTTTTAACAATTTTCAGTCATATCGCAACGATGTCTGCAGTGTGGCATTTTATAGTGATGTTTAGCACTGGGGCATCATGCCACAGACAGGTAGCATGATGGCCAACTCAGTCACATTATCCTGACACCAGTCCGAATAGTCCTAACACTAACCTATTTATGCTGAGTGCCAAGCGAGGCAGCTGTTAGTGCCATTTTTGTAAGTCTTTGGTATAACTCGACTGGGGATCGTAGCCACGACCTCCCGCATCAAAGGCGGACGCTCTAACCACTAGGCCACCGGAGCGGTATAATCTTAAAGTAATTAGATATGTTGTTAAAACTATCTTTGAACAAACGCTTTTCGTCATATATTAAAATGTTATTGGCAGCATTAGATATGTACCTATATTAATTCAGGTATTTGTAAAAAAAAAATAGCAGGTTAAGGTGTTTCGAGCAATTAGATAAATAATTAATACAAGAAATTGTTGCTGTAAAAATTGCATTCCACAATTGACCTCCTTATATAAATTTTCAGCTTTTATGTCAATCCCACTGATCACACCTCAATTTTATACAGATAGCTGTCATTAGCTGCAGTTCGGACCACCTCGGTTATTTATTACAACAAAGATAGACCGAGAAGTTGCGAATGCATCATACAATGTTTCATTTACATCTACTCAATCAGTCGTACGGTCAGTCTAAAAAAATAACCGAAGTCGTCCGGGTAGAATACAGTATCTTTTTGTGAAGAACATTCCGGCGAACAAGTCTTGCGATTTCTCTGTACGTTAATGAGCTCTCATACTCTGCATTTTCCAAGGTCAGTAATTGTTTTATGTAGGCTGCAATCCCATAATACCTTAATGAAGTTATCGGTTTTGAAGAACACCAGAATTTACAAAGTTAGATTGATATCTATAATTTGCCATAGTAAGTGATTCCTTCTGGGTAAGAATGGGGTTTACTCCACAAAAAGGTTTTAGAAGATCATAATTTTTGCCTGATACGCAAAGTGCCTCTTTAAACTTTACTCAACATAAATATCTTACTTGAATATATTCTGGCGAATTGAACATCTAAATGTTTCATTTCTTGGTATCATTTCCAAGATTGGACAAAACGTTTCTACAAGAAAGGTAAATTAGAAATATCAGTGTTAGAGGACTCAGGCTCAGAACAACACAATTGAATTGGGAATTAGTTAATCACTTTGAACAATTATCATCAAATATTTTAGAGGTCGTGTTAATAATGGAATGTATTACGATGGTCTTTTATGTTCCAGGAAATGCAATACAATTTTATTAACTGGTAAAGCATTACTAGAAAAACAACATTTGATATTCAAATCTATCTATCTGCAGAACAATAAATACAGATACTCTAGCACTGACATAATCTAAACTACATGTACAGAACTCAAGTGCATGCTGCACTATCCGCCATTTGGGAAAACTAAACAGATCTACCAGTTCTTGTGTTTTAGCCTGCATTGAAGAATGTGTGACAGGAATAACTAGCATTAAAGAATGACCAATACCATAAATAACCAAACTAGGAAATTGCTCAAAACAAGGAATTTTAGGCTAACTCCAAGAACGTTCCATGCATTATTGCATGCCAAGAAGCTCTAAGTGTCTCAAGAGGCTTACCTCATTTAAGCGGGATTTGTCCATCAACAATTAAAGATGGTATCGACTAAAAAGAGCAAGGGATTCCAACTTAAATTCTCGTTTACAAACACGCCACTTTGTGTTAGCCTTTATATTGTCTGAAAGCATTTAGACAGTTAATTACAATATTTGAAAAATGTATACCTCCGTGTAATTGGAAAACTCCTGGATTTTATCCTATTTAAGCAGATGTATTACTGGTTTGTATACAGTTCAAGAAATTAAGACCCAAATCTTTGTAGAGCCATGAGTGTTGGCTAGGATTACATATATTGGTGATTGTCAGCTATCAGATGTTCCCAAACACTGGCAATATCCAAGGTTAAAATCATTCTGCATACGCTGTGATAATACCATTTCTTTGTCTTCTTCATCCATTATGATATGGCAATATTAAAAAAAAGAGTCGAGATCACAAATACTGATATTATCAATTCGCTAAAACAATCAAATCCTCATTAAAGAAGTAATCATCTTTCCCATACATATATTATCACGGTCCCGAATACAAACCATCTATCCTATAAGATTCAGTCTCAAGGTCCATAAGACAAATCACCTGTCCTCTAACATCTACACTTTTACATCCCTAAGGCAAATCGCCTGTCCTATACGTCTGCATTCTCAAGGCTCGTAGGGCAAATCACCTGTCCTATACAATCTACACTTCAACATCCCTCAGGCAAATCACCTGTCCTGTAACATATTCAGTCTCAAAACCTCTAACATGGTCGTTCCCATTCTCAGCGCACTTAAGATAAATCACTTGTCCCATCCATCCACATTCTCAGTGTCCTTAAGACAAATCATCTGTCCTATACATACACATTTTCAACGTTTGTAAGATAAATCACTTGTCCCATCCATCCACATTCTCAACGTTTGTAAGATAAATCACTTGTCCCATCCATCCTCATTCTCAACGTTTGTAAGATAAATCACTTGTCCCATCCATCCACATTCTGAACGTTTGTAAGATAAATCACTTGTCCTATACATCCACATTCTCAACGTTTGTAAGATAAATCACTTGTCCCATCCGTCCACATTCTCATCATCCGTAAGACAAATTACATGTTTATAACAACTACACTCTCACGATCAATCACTTGTCCTATAACATCCACAATTTCAATGCCACCTGTATTATAGCACTCACATTCTCATTTCACTAGACTGGTTTCCTGTAGAAAATGTAGCATTATTAATCAGTCATCTGTCTTGATAGATCAGTTTATAAGCGTAACATAAACTGCTGCTAAAGACAGATTTAAACAGATTTGTTTCATTGACATATCACGAGATGTATAAATGTTTAGTTAAAGGAATACCAAAGGCACGACGTGCACACGATACGCATCTTTTATATATATATATATATATATATATATATATATATATATATATATATATATATATATATATATATATATATATATATATATATATATATATATATATATATATATAACATACACGTACACATACTTGCATTTACAATGCAGCTAAGATTGACTACTGGCAAGCAACGGTGTATTGATGGAACGAACGAACCCTGCACAACCTTGTTCAGTTTGTCTGCTACAAACTGTAGGTAAGTTGCTTCTTTTGAACGTCTACTTTCATTTATATCGATTAAATAACATTAAGCGACACTTATAATTTGAACATGGAAGATGTTTTAAAGAACGAAAGTAGAACACTATGAAGATAACATCGTTGACTACTTGAGTATTAATATTCACATACCGGCTAGCATATTGAAACGAGTGCGAAATATAAACTAAGCGAAACAAGGAATCAGCAAAGGGTAATTCAAACATTTAAATGTATTTACATTAATTTAAATTAGTATTATGATTTAATTAACATTTCTATCTACTATGTAAATTTTTCTATCCTCCATTTCTAAATTTTCCTTTTCACTTCATTTTGTCAGCATTCAAAGATCTAGAGACATTATCACATGACAGGTTTTTTAAAAAGGATTTTCGCTAATCTTTCTAAGAAGGTCCAGAGAGAGAGAGAGAGAGAGAGAGAGAGAGAGAGAGAGAGAGAGAGAGAGAGAGAGAGAGAGAGAGAGAGACAGAGAGAGAGAGAGAGAGAGAGAGAGAGAGACAGAGAGAGAGAGAGAGAGAGAGAGAGAGAGAGAGAGAGAGAGAGAGAGAGAGAGAGAGAGAGAGAGAGAGAGAGAGAGAGAGAGAGAGAGAGAGAGAGAGAGAGAGTTATTAAGAATGTATACTCTTAGGTATAATTTTAATAGGGAAATGGTTTCAGACCCTTGCACTTTTTTATTTCAGCACAGAATAAAGCTTTTTGTAATAATGTTGTGTTATTATAAAAAAGGAACATGCAAATGTACATCTTCATAACACAAATAAAGACACGAGATGTACAAGTACTCAAGTTAACACAATTAATATGTACACCCAATTATGTATTGCGTATTAGAAGTGGATATATAAATTCCTTTGCGTCTACAGAAAAAGTATCACGGCATATAAACAATTTATCAGAGCTAAAAACAAGTCTACAAATGATTACAAGAGCACAAAATGACCAGAACCAAATTTATTACTTAAATTGAGAAACAAAGACGAATAATTCATGGACTACAAAAACCTGAAACTTCATGTACAATTAGCTTTACAAATGAGACAAGATTCATGGTTAAAATCAGATGTCGCTGAATTGACTGTATGTTGAAGATGAAACATTAACAAAGAATTTGAAAGAGAATTATTCACATTGATGAATATACTATATTCGGCAGAAAGAAGGAAAGTCTTCAGAGAAGTCGTAAATAAAAGGCATAGTAAGGACAATTATTCAATTATCACAAAGATGTATCAGTTGCATTGAGATCATTTATGTAACAATGACCTAGTTTCAGTCAGAAATAAATAAAAACGAAACAATTAACAGATCCGATTTTGGATGATTTTCTTTTATCTGAGTGATGCTATTTGAAGTTCACTGCAAGAAGCTTAAAAGAATAATGTGTAAGAATGATGATACTAGAAGATGCTATTCATGACCGTTAATGGGTCACTGTTGCTGATAGACAAATATTTTACAAAAATGTGAATGATAATCATCACCTTTCATAACACTAGTGAATATAGAAGGAACGATACGTTTTTTTCCACGCATACAAAAAAATAACATCCTTGTTTTTTTAAAGATGGATTGAATGGCGTTCAAGTTAGAACATTTTGTGCGCTGAAGTCATTCATTCACGACGGACAAGACAATTGTAAATAAATCACAAATGTATTTTGAGACAGGATTTAAATTCCAAAGGCAGAATAACTGTTTATTTAATCACAAGAAAAAAATTTTCTCAGGTAACAAAATCTTAAAGTTTAGAGAACCAAAATAAATAAAGTTAATTTGTCTTTATTTGTATGAAGCCAACCAATGTTTGCTCGATCACATGAAAACATTAAATTACAAACATGAAGCATAAATGTCTCTAACGCGACTCTTTAATCTAATGAATATGTAAGCCTTATTAAAAGTTTGATTATGTTCCTTTTCAAAATATCTTTAATTTATTGTAATCATATTATATAAGTCGTATTATATAATTTATTGTAATCGTATTATACACAGCAAATCGAACA